TGCTTCGTAATGTTGTTTTTATATTAGTTTTGCTCTGGAGTTAGGTTTGGTATTAGACATAAATAACTTTACACATATATTTATTAATTCAACACCCATGTTGTACATGGGTATTAGTACTAGTATTAAATACAACACAAATTCTATGCTTTGTAATATCATTTTCAGCTTTTCACTTGAGATTAATAAGTGGTCAATTTTACCTTGTTGTAATTGTCACTTATTTTTTGTGAAAATTTTGGTGAACCAAATGTATGTTGGAATAAGTATGTCTAATTTCTTCAAACGTAATTAAATAAATATTTTTTTACAGGAAGATATAAAAATATAAATTAGTTATTTCAATTGAAAAAAAAAAATCTAAGTAATACGTGGCTATTTTGGATTACATTTTAATATTAATTATAATTTATATCCACATCCTTCCGCTATCTACCTTATCAAGAAAAGATTTAATTTCTAATGAAGTCCAGCCCATGCCCAAAAGTCTATCGGCTTAATTTCGAATAGAGTCCAGCCCACATCCAAAAGTCTATAGGCCCATATACATACAAGAGGGAAAGTACAAACTCTCGATTTTTGTCCCACATCAGAGAACGAAATCAACTGCTATCCCTTAATATTACCCTGCCTCTACCCAACAGAGCGTCCCTTCGGGGACATCCGATAAAATTGGAACGATACAGAGAAGATTAGCATGGCCCCTGCGCAAGGATGACACGCATAAATCGAGAAATGGTTCAAATTTTTTTTCGGTTTTCTCCTGATCTTTTTTTATTCTACCGTACGTGCATTCTTTCTTCTTAATTATTTTAATTCAATCGCACATTATAGTTCGGATTTATGGTTTTATATGTAATCTGGCGCTTCACAGCGTTTCTATGACGTGAAATCGGGTTTTTTTTTCCTATGGATCAACGATCACATTGTGGGTCTGATTTACACAGAATCGAAAAGTTGTTGTGCCAATAATATTTGAGGAGAAAGTAGGTGGATCGAATGGGATCGAAAAACAACGAGGATTTGTATGACACGGAAAGATTAGCTGCTGCTGCTGCCTGTTGATGAATTGAAAAAAAAAAATATTATCTTTTATGAGTCTGGACGAGCATTATCAATTCGAGCCCGATTGAACGAGGTTTAAATGAGCTCGAACTGATGCACGCTCGAGCCTTAAAGAGTCGAGCTGAGACCTGAGATTACGAGCAACTAGTTTAATCTAATCTCTTATCCATTCTCCTCGCATAGTCCATTATCTCTCTGCATAGCCATTTGTCTTATTATCCTTACAATTTGATGTTTCGTGTTATGTGTACATAAATAGTGTATATGAATAACTATTCATGTTAATCCCTCGTCCATTAGTTATGGCCATGCTAATGGTAATGGCCTTCTCTATATCGTTCTCGTCCATTATCCTTACGCAGGGCCATGCTAATTTTCCGATCAAATCGATAGATTTTATCTTTCAAATATGAAATTGGTAAGTGACCATATCTTTGGATACACTCATAAAAACTAGAATCTTAAATTAATAAATTCTTTAATGATTATAATTAGAATTGACAAGTGACCATATCTTTCTAGTCTTACACTCGTGATAAACTAGAATCTTAAATTGATGAATTCTTTTTTGGTCATTATAATTAATCGTTGAACTCCAAACTGAAAATTAAATCTACATTTTGTGATCTAAATTGATAATATTCTTGTACTTTAAATACACCGTGGGCAAGAAGACTAGCATATTTTTATCATACAAAGTTGAATTGCAAGGGATTTTTCAAAGAATATTCCATCGTCTGTTTTCTCAGGTCTAGTCGACCTGGTACGATATACCATATCAGGACTAAATGATCAAAGAATATTCGAAGATACCGACTAAGAATTCCTACAAGAATTCATAAAGGAAAAGATTCAATTAATCAAGATATATAACAAGAGTTGTATCCATACAGTTTTGCACTTATCAATAAATGTAACATGTTTAGGAATACAAAAGAAACAATTCAATTAACCAAGATTCATTATGAGGATCGTATCCATACAATTTTGCACTTCTCAATAAATATAATATTTTTAGGAATACATAAAGAAACGATGCAATTAATCAAAAAACATAACGAGGATTGTATCATACAATTTTATACTTATCATCAAATATAGCATGCTTTGTTATTATAAGATGTTCCTATTTTAGGGCTTGAAAAATTTGTCATTCTTAACTCTTGTACTCATGAATTCTTATTTAATTTAAGTCATACAGTCGAATATTTTTAAATTCTTTTATTAACGGATTTATGTTTCAAATTTCATTCAGGTCATGGTTGGGAACTAATGATCGGTTCTATCTACACAGATTTGAGTTTGCTCATAACATCGAACTATATATACAAATTTTGAGTCTTGTTTTCAACTTTACCCGTCTCGAGCCATCACCAGGAAAACTATTCAATGATAGGCAGAGGGTTCCTTTCTTCGAAATATCATATAAAATCTTTCGGTCTGCTATCGGTTCTCATATCCTTCAGAGACTACGATTGTAATGGGAGCATTCATCGACAAAAGGATCACTTAAGCGTATCGTTTCATGGCTATTGAGAAATTGCTTAGCAACAATCGGACAAGTGGGAAATGTTGGACGAATAAAAAAGTTTGGGTAGAGCCGAATACAAGCGTTGTCAACTTCTTGTAATAAAATGAGTCGTACTTTATGCCACCTGTAAAATGACTCACCACAACAGCAGTGGCCACCAGATCAACTAATTGTCAAACAATGTCATTACTAGTACAATACTCGTATATTACATGGGTGCTAGTTAAAAAACTTATATTTAAACTTAAAATTTTAAAAAAAATCAAATAATTTTTTTTGAAACTATTTTTTATTTATAATTAATGACACACGTCACTTATATGACTTAATATCTTATATTATTATATATTTTTTTAATTTATATCATATAACTAATTTTGTAGTTAAATTGATTTAATAATTTTGTTTCAATTTATAATAATATATAATTTAATTTTTGTTATGAAGATAAATATAATTATTTGTTTGTTTTTATGTACAATATGTCGAATCAAATCTCAGCAAGACATGATTAATTTAATATAATATATGTGAAAATTTGATAATAATAATAAAAAATTATTAGCTTTTAAATATATCTATAATTTATGTTAATAATTTTTGTTGTCATTATAAAAGAAAAATGAAGAACATAGAAAGATTGGAGAAAAAAATTATGCCTTATAAATCATATTTGGAATAGGAAATAATGTTATAACTTAATTAAATCTCTTAAAAATGATCATAAATCCAGTATATATATGGATATTCCAATCATAGTTATTTTTGGATTGAAAAAAATTAAAATCCATCCAAACCAAATGACAAAACACGAGAATTTTTCAAATAAGATTTCGAAGCGTGAGTGTCTGCCACTTAAGCTCAGCGCAATCTGAAACTATATATAGAGGGATCTTTATATATATATATATATATATATATATGACAATCATTTTATTAAAAACTGATTACATATTATAATAGATATTACTAAAATTTGTATATTTGGAAAGATGGTAGAAAATAATGTGACATTTTTAATGTATAATTTTCTACAATTTATAAGTATTTTTTAATATTTACTAAAGAATTGTTCAGAATAACTAGATATGGTGGATGTTTTAAATACCAACCATTTGTATTGAAATAACTAAGATATTAATATAATATAAATATAGAAGGAAACCAAAAAATTATGGATTAAAATAAAGTTTATGATAGAAGTTTTATTATATATAAATATAAATTTAATTTTATATTATGTACATTTTCTAAAATGAAGCACTCGAATATTGTCTCACTAACTTGCGGGACATATTTTGTAATTTAGTGCAAAAAAAACTAAGGAAAGGATAGGCCATAGTTGGCGAACAATTTGTAATTTAGTGCAAAAAAAACTAAGGAAAGAACAGGCCATAGTTGGCCAACAAATAACTACACAGAGAAACGATTAAAAGAGTTGTTTCTGACTGTTGATCTCGCAAAGTCATTAGACTCATTACATTATACTTTTTTTTTTTTATTTTAGTACGATCGTATTTAATAATAAGATGGTTCATTATATTATTATTAATTATAAAAAAAATATTTCAAGCAATGTATTATTTAACTTAAATTACTAGTAACTATTTATCTAATATAAATTATAGACTGATAACTTGAAATAAATGTATATATAGTAGCTTTAAATTAATCACTAATGTTAAGTTAATAATAATTGTGCTTCTATATAAAAACAAATAGACCTATATTGTAAATAAACACCTAATTAAGTTTTTCTTCAATTTTCTTAATATTCATTTTAAACCAGCAATCTACTACTATGGCTTGTAATGATCAACTTTAACAGTTTTATACAAGCATATCATAAAATTTGCAAGTTAATTACCAAAATGATCTGATATCCACTAAAAACAATCAAAATGGTAAATCCATGATGGAACTCAACAATAGACTTAGTGGGTTTTTTTTTTTTTT